AATATACTTCACTGTCGGTGCGGGTATTCATGCCATTGATATTAATATCAAACGCAAGCGGCATCATACTTTTGTAAGATATTGTGCCCATGCAGTTTAAATCTGCTGCTCGTGTTATCGTTTCCAACATTAAGTTAAAGTAGTCATACAATAAGCTATCCTCTCTGAAACCTCGTTTGGTATCAAACGGTTCGGAAGAGAAGTTCTTCCCGATTCTAACGGAGGTGGTGATGTAAAATGACGTCATTTTACATAGCCTAATAAGTTTTGCTGGGATACCAAATTCAGACAGTCATTCATTATCGATTCAGAGTGACTGTCATTAAATGAAATCAAAGTTTTTGTTTTTAGTCACATGTTTTAAATTAAACTTCCAAACAAAGTTATTAGTGAGTTTTCTGAGGGCTTTTCTCACCCTTGCCCCAAAATCTATTTATATGGCTTTTTATAAAATCTCTTTAAAATTGTTAGTAAGTGTCAAACCGAGGTTCTTAATGGATTTCAATAATCTACATTACTTTTTTTATTTCTATGCCAGATATTGTTTTTTTTCTGTGTATACAGATATTAAAACTATTAATTATAAACATGTAATCCTTTTAAACATGTAAATTTCTCACAATATATAAGCTACCAGTGTTTACTCCATATTTGTTATGAAAGTAAGTTAGAGAAATTTGACTTCCTTTCACTTGTCTATGTTGCTAACTTATATGAGTTTATGTACTAACCAAATGGGTTACCAGTAGAATTAGCAATTCTTTTTATGTTTTTCAATATTGTCTTTATTATATGTGTAATAAAATCATTCTTTATTCGTGTCTTCATTAAAATCTTGATCGACCACCTTCAGCAGTAAACAAGACAACAATAGCGATTGCTTGAAATGAAAGTCAATGGCTGTAAGCACGTAGTTTTCGGTGATTTAAGCTTTGATTTCATTATTGTATACAATATTTCATTAATTTTGTACGTTTGTTTACATTCTTAATACCAGAAACGCGACAATAAACAATTTAATGAAGCAACAACACCAATACACATGAGTGGTAATGTTATATCGTGCAACATTTTCACTTAGTCAGAACTGATAATCTGGTCTGTCTACAACAGCAATTTGTTGCCAAACGCAATGACTGAATCATTTATTTGAGTGGTGTAAGTGCTGTGATTGTGCTCTTTTGCAATCGCTTTTTAACGAGTTGCACTGCAATCGACAACAGGTGAATAAATAGCATCAATGCACACTGTTCAATGTCTAAACATTTTCTGTTAACAAATTCTGTTAGCGTGAGTACACGAATGCTTAATAGCCCAGTATACATTTTTTTAAATTCTGTTGAGTTGACGTTCGTGACAGACTATGATAATTGTTGACTTAATTGAAAGGCGGTTGAAAAATTGTAGATAACATTATTACACTTATTAAAAATTATAATATATATATAATACATATGGTGCATAACCATATTGACAATTGATATTACACTAATTAGTTAGTTTAAAATGCAAAGCTACTTTATTATATAAAATAGTCTGAACTGGAAACATCTCGGAGTACCCTTTTTTGATTTAGTTCCCTGAAAACTATTTTATATAAATTCAAGATTTTATATAAATTATATATCTTAGTGATAAAGATGCCATTTTAAAAGAACATGTCAACACCATAACTTCCTTATGTACCGTCAGGAAGGAAGTAGTGAAGCCAACGTTCCATCAACAAGCAGGTTCTCCTTACGATTTTGTTTTCTTTACAAATTTAATCGTTCTCTGTCCAATTAAGGATTTATATAGAAAAAAGGAAAACAATATTATTTGTGTGTTCGGATAATAAAGATAATCAAGGATAACCGAAGAAATAAAAAATAAAAGACATGGATCAGTGCCGTATATATTATTGTAGGCTTTTTTCTGTTCTAAAAATTATGTTTAACTCACAGATTAATTTAAACTATACACTGGATAAAGCTATTTTTCTGTTAATATGTTATATCTAGTAATTTCCAAAGAAAGTTTCCCAACATTTTTTTAGATAAAACTGTATGTCTTTGAAATTAAACTATCTTAGAATAGTATTCAAATTTTCTGGGATTATGATGTAATCAAATAGAACTGCAACTAGATAAACTCTTTCAATAATAAAGTAAAATTTATCTCTAAACTTTGTAGCATACTAGAAAATATAAAGAAATTTGAATATTTCCTGGGGCGTGAACCTTTTAGCGTATCCTATGGTAATGGTTTATGGGTTAGGCTAAGGCCTACGACCAGCTTAGTTTATTGTGCACTAGCGCAAGTCTTATCATTTAATCAAATCTCTGCTGTACTTCTTTATATAAAATTGACGATAACAAAAGGACTGTAGTATTTGCCTTGATTTTATTATAGTTTTTCTTTAGATATGTTTTACAAGTTAGTAGCATTTATTTTTTTTTATATTTCCATAGTCGCCATAATCTGCATACCGCGATTAGATTTTCCTATTAGTCAAGCTCTCATTATTAACCGTGTCATTTGTCATCTGCTTTAATTACTTGGTCGGTACATTGCTGTAATTGCCCAGATGCAGTCTTAATAATTTCAAGTACTCGTACTCATCTATTTTATTTAGTATCTTCGTTGATGTCATCTATCTACAAGATATTCTGTCAAAAGTGCTTAGACTAACCTATGATTTATTTTTAATTCCTTTCTTTGTCATTCCTAGTGTATTTTTAGTACGTGACTGGGCCTTGTTTGGCACACCTCAGGCTTAAAGTCGTCTGTTTTTGTTGTATCTTTGTTAACATCATACAGTTTCAGTTTCTCCTTCATTGTTTTGTTTATCATCTGTCATATTATCCAGTTGTGTGGCATGTTTAGGTTAGTCATCAGTCTACTCTCTAAATTATGTGATCGGAACAAAGGGTTCACAGTCTAGAGTTATCTATACATTATATCTTTGATATTTTGCTTGTTACTTTTTTAGTTTATCCATTTAATTTTCTATCTGCCGCAATTAGGTTTTTCCATCGCTTTTCTTTGTCATCAGTCAATTCTTTTAGTTACATGATTGGTCCAAAGGATTCAGAGTCAAGAGTCAGAGGCGTGTATTTTTCTTGTATGTTTTTTGATTTATCCATCCATTTTCTGCGTCACACCATTAGGTTTTGCTACCAATTCAGCTCTCATTTTTTTCTATGTCATTAGTCTACCCTTTTAATTATGTGACTGGTTGAAAGGGATCACAGTCTATAATTGGAAGCAACTATTTTTTTTGTATCTTTGTTTATGCCATGCATCCATTTTACATCCTAACTGTTACTTCGGGTTCCATGATCTGTTTAGATATGATTATTTTTCTTACCGTACTATCATTTGGCACATTTTCGATATATTTGTATATCAGTTCCGATACGATGGTTCTCTCACTTGTTTAAGAAACCATATCATTATTTTCCTTAGTATTTTGTCATCTCTATCAGTTTCGACATATTGTTTATTTTAATTTCGATATTATAATCATCGTATAGTTATTATAACTAATAGTTGATCTTACTTGTTACTCGTTGCAGTGGCCTATAAACTCAAAAACCTAATTGTTCACTGGGTGTTAATAAAGCTATTGCTATTGCATTATAGTAAGCTTGTCTTTAAAGCACTGCACGTACTGCGTGCTCTTTAAGTAAATAAACTTGCGCTCTTCGTAAATTGAAGAGGTAACGAGTTGAAGGTAACGAGTGAGCGTGCATAATAACATAAACAAACAAAATTCTCTCTTAGCGCGAATTAGTTTTGCGTGTCCGGCGGTTTTCTGTTTAAACTTGGCTTTTACTATTTTTGAAATTAGTTACTTTGAGGCGCGCGTTGGAGAATGGTTAAAAAAATTTCAC